GGGCAAAAAAAAAAAACGCGCGACGGGCAAAAAAAAAAAAACCACAGGCCCACGCACCGCACCGCACTCAGGCCCACATCCGCCCACCACCAAACGCCGCCACGCAGGCCCACAGCACCCCAGTCCCACCTCACGGGCCGACGGGTCGGCTTTCACTATGCCGACACCGACGCGCCACCGGTTCCCCCTCGCCCCACTGCCTCGGAGAGGGCCCGCACGGCGGCGCCCGGTTTCTGTTGGGCTTGTCACGCGAGACCCGCTTCTTCCTTTGGCGTATTAGAGAAATTTGACGTATTTTTGCGTCATTAGCACTGGCATTAATCACCACCATCGAACGAAAGCATGCCCCAACAACTTTTCATCTCTGTAAGCAAAAGAGGCAAACTGCATTGTTGGATTGAAACCATTAGAGGAATTGGTGGGGCAAACCTACCCCATATTCGGAACCGTCAGCGAGTTCGAGGGAGAACTCCTCGTGAATGTAATGTAGCACCTTCCCAAATTCGTAAAAAATCTCTGCATCATCTAGAAGCCACGGGTAACTCAGGACCTGCACAAACGCTAGCATTTCAACAATTCAGAACGGTCGGCTTCATGAGACCAATGACCCGGCACTAGCATTGAGAAGACACCTTCCTCCGACCCCGTTTTTGCCGACCCTGATTTTCACTGCGCGCCAAGTTTTGTCGAGCCTGCGTTCCGTTTTGTTTTTTTCCTCGTACTCTTGTGAAAAAAAAAAGAGGAACACGGCGTTGCATTCAAAAACAAAAACAAGCAGGCCGTTACAGCGACGCAGTCACATCCACGAAAAAAAAAAAAAAAAAAAGAAAGAAAGAAAGAAAGAAAGAAGAAGAAGAAGAAGAAGAAGAAGAAGAAGAAACAACCATTTGGATACAATCTGCAAAGTGCTTGTGTGAGTATGCCCTAAGTGAGGGCTTTACGGCAGCGGTGTCAGGTTCACCAAATAAGGAAGAAGAAAGAATTTGAAACTGAACTTAGGGTGGGAAAGCGGGCTGATGCAATCTGCAAAGTAGTAGTGTGAGTATGCCTTCCGTGACAGATTGTCGCCGGTGGACTGAGCCCTGCCTCGCTGGCAAACAAAACAAGAAAAAAGAACAAAAACAAAAACACAGTTGACAAAAGCTGAAACAAGCCACAATCGTAGTTAGATGCATTCTTCTGAGTATCGATGTGAGCTCTACCTTGTTCGCGGCCTACCCCAACATCTTTCCTCACATTACAGTCTCTTCTTTTTTTCCCTTTTTTTTCACAAAAGAGCCCCATAGGGCCCAAACATTTTCTTTTGGCTGAGCCTCCTCAGGACCTCTGGAAAACACGGTGTGAATCATATTCACGTTTTTCCCAACACTCAGAACATTAATGGTGGTTCAACAGAGGAGCCAACATGCTATCCACAATGGGTGAACAACACGCTATTTACAAAGAGTCAACAATATCCTATTCGCAACCAGCCAACATTCTATTGACAAGCAGGCATGTCCGGAAGTAACCAGGGACAGGAAGCAAGCTGTAGAGAAAGAACGTATATTACCCATGGTTGAATGGCACACAGATGTAAAGCCATTGCGGCTGAACGGTGCAAACGTCCAGCTGTTGATAAGCTGGTCAAGGGTTCAAATCCTGTGGGATACATTTACAAGCTGTTGATAAAAAGTGCTGTAAGAGTGCAAATCCTGTGGGATACAGTTACAAGCTGTTGATAAAAAGTGCTGTACCACATCATAGTAGCATACCTAAAGCTGTTGATAAACAGCTACCGTCTTCCCCCAAATGGAACGTACGGTAATTATAGCTGTATATTCAGTCTAGATACAGCAATAATGGCTGTACGGTTGAAGGGCCCCTTAAGCCCAAATCTGTTGACATCATTCACATTCTCTTTCTGGCTGGAACTCGAAGTTTACACTATCGGTTAGAGCACTCGAAGTTTACACTATCGGTTAGAGCACTCGCTGCCGAGGGGATCTCGGCTGAGATGTTTTGCAGACTCTACCGCACGGTCCACCGCTTGGCCTGCACCTCTCAATTGTTTCATTTTGTTGATCGATGTCTGATTTGCTGTCCATTTCCGGAACTTATCAGATTAGGCTCAAGGGGATCTCGTACTTGATCTGATCAGGCTGAGATGTTGCATCAGAACTCTCATCTGAATTTTTTTATTTTTTTTCATTGGCTGCCCTCTAGTCCAAAATTTTCCAAATGTATTGCCGCTCCGGCGGCGAGTTCTACCTTTCTGTTTCTTTGTGCTTTTCATTTTTTATTTTTTGTAATGACCCGCCAAAAACACAGACTGAGAACACTGCTGATTTCTGAGATTTGCCGCTGGAATGAATGCCTTGCTGAAATTCCCGCATTCTGCTGTGATTTCCATGTCTGTGTGTGTGTGCGTGCCTGCTGGBTTGCATGCCTGTCTRAGTGCTTGTCGGTTGAGTGTGTGTGTGACCCGCAAGGGTACTTGTTGGTTGCAAGGCCCCGCAGGGCCGGTACTTACCTGTGGCCGTGACTTTGAGGGTTGCAGCGGGGAAAACACTCGAGTAGCAGGGGTAGGCCTGCGACACTTAGAGCAGAGGGGAAAAACACTAGCAGGTAGTCCGGTTACCACTGAAGTAGTGGTAGAAGTGTCGGGTACTGGAGGCCGAGCAGAAGAAGACAAAAAGTTGGCATTTTTAGAGGCCCAGTAGTGGTAGGCTAGAGGTAGGCCGGTACCAGTCCAAGTAGCCCAGGTCTAAGGCCTGTCCGGAGGTTAGCAGAGCCTGCAATGATGTTTCCCTCCGAAAGGGAGGAGGTACCGGTTGCTGGGAGGCCGCTCGGCCTAGGAAGCCACCGCCCAGGAGACCAGTAGGCCGCTGTATCTGGTCTCTATCTCTTTGCAAGTGCTTTTATTTCTTTCGCAATTGGGTGGCATTGTCTTTCATTGTGAATTTGCACTTTGGAAATGACCAGGATCGTAACAATTGGTATCGGAGCAGACTTACTTGCTGGCGAGAGGTGTTAGTCACCCTAAACCTAATTCCGAGTTAGGTTAGGGCTAACCTAATCTCGGATTAGGGTTAGGAAGTTAGGGTTAAGTGGGGCAGTGAGGTATGTGGATACTGCCCCCACCTGGTTAGGTCATGTAGGGTCGACATCAGACCTGACCAGGTTGCTTGAGTGATTGGATGGGGTGGCGAGTCACAAAGGAGGCAGATTGGAGTAAGCGAGAGGGAGTAGAGAGTGAGAGGTACTCGCACCTGGAATCTGCACTTCAAGAAGACATTTGGGCTTCAAGAAGACTTTTGGGCTTCCCCTCAAGAGGGAGACTTGATCGGAGCCTGCCATATCTGCATCGGAGAGCTGCAAGTTGCTACTTTGGTCTTCAGACATCGGCGGGGGATCCGGCGTTGCAACAAGGGTGTAGGAAGGCCCTCTTAGTCATGCTAGGACACTTCGTGTAGTGGTAGCTAGCGGTCAGGAGGACTTATGAGAGAGGGGGGTGAGTCGTTATCCATCTTTGGAGGCCAGGCCTCACAGGTAAGTGTCGTGTAACCTGGTTAGCCCATGGGAGGTTGCTTGGTGCTTCATGGCCTGTTGGGGTGTGCTGGGCTCTCTTCCTCTTCTCTGCGGTCTTGGTTGTGTGTGTGAGCATGTGGCTTGCTTTCTCACCCGATGGATGGATGGATGATGTATCTGTTCTCAATGACATATCTATCTACAATGCATTGTCTTTTCATTTCTGAACGGCTGTAGGGGTAAGTTCTTGCTGAAAGTTGTCTTTTCCTGTTCAGTACGGTAGAGGCAGTTTGGGACTGACTTGGTACACCTATCTCGTTGGTCCTGGTCCACAACCTACTTGGGACCTTCGGGACTGAGTGGGACCAGCCCCAACGGGACAGAACCTTTCGGCCCAAATCTGTTGCGGTCAATGCATCTCTTTGCTGTGCTGAACTTGGGGGACATACGGCTAGCAAGGGCATTCCTTTCAAGGGGATCTTGACTGGTCTTATTGCATGTTATCACATACTGCCCCGCGTCTGGCTCGGCGACCGTCTGCAGCCCTCGAAATCTCCATTGCTGCAATTAGTTTTCTTCAGCTGATTTATTGTAGTACATGTACCTTGTCAGGTTAGACAAGAGGGGAACTCCAGCTAATCTGATTGGGCCCGTTCGATGAGTCAGTCCTCTCATCCACTTTTTTTTTTTTTTAATTATTCTTTTTTTCTGCTGCGTGCCATTCTCTAAGTCCAAATGAATCGCCGCTCCGGCTAGGAATTCTACCTTCCACTCTGTGTGATTTACTGTTTGTTTCTTTTATCTGAACTATCTATGTCCGGTATTGAAACGCGTGCGCAGGAAGCGGAAAGAGAGAAGGGAGAGAGAAGGTGTTCTTTTTGGGAACGTGAGGAAGGGCAAGAGGAGTGTTCGTCCAAACGAGAGGACCCTTGCTGGACATCTCATCTGCCCGAAAGGGAAAGGGAAAGGGAGGCTGGGCATCTAACACCCCTTCCTCCAGCATGGCAGACATCTCATCTGCCCAATGGCAGGCCATGCTGGACACAGCGGACGAGAACGAGAAACCGTTCTTTCAAAAACTTTATGACGATGCCATACAGAGGGAAAGGGAGGCAGAGGCAGCAGCCAGAGCCACAAGCATAGCTGAACAGGCGGCTCTCCTTGCAGTTTCGGAATCGAATGATGAACGGTTCCGAGAAAAGTTAGCTGCTGCCGTCGCAGCCTTGGTTCGACTGCGGACCCTAGAAGACCTTGAGTCCCGTGTGACAGCCCTGGAGCAGCGGAATCATGAGCTGCAGGCTGAGATAGTCAGCCTCAAACAGTCCCAATTGTCTGCCCCCCGTCCTCCTAACCCTCGACCTGCTGCAGTCCCAGTCTCTCAACCTAACACAGTCCTCATGGCAAGAGCAAGTGGAACTGTGACGAGCGCAGGAACCGGTGCCAGCTCCTCAAGCGGCAACACCGGCAGTTCTGCACTGGTCATAGTCCCAAATGCAAGAACTTCAGCCCAAAACGCCATAGTTCTTACTCGCGTACAGTACAACGGTCCCGTAGTGGACAAGCGGGCGGCCACTTTGCCGTCCAAGTACGACGGGAAAGGGGACATTACCTCTTGGATTAGCTCCATGCGCTCATACTTCGAGGTACTGCGAACACCGCAAGAAGACCGAAGCAGGATCATGGGCACAAATATTGAGCCCGTCGTACGGAGTTTCATAGAACTCCAAGCTGTTATAGCAGGTTATGACAGGATTGACCTGACTGAGTGGCTGAAAGTAGACGGTCTGTTCACCACTCCAAACCTGGAAATGACCGACGTGTCTTGCATGGATGTAGTCATGGGAGTGGCCCCTAAAGAATACCTCTCCCTGCTAGGACTCAAAGACCATACCACTTGGCGAGAGCTCATGACGGATCTAGTCAACCTAGAGGCCAAGGACCTCGCCAGGCGTGCAAAAGCACCCGCTGCAGGTAGAAAATCACAACACAAGCGGTATGGAAGCAGCAACCGGCTTGCCCTACATGAACATCGGGAGGCTG